TACCCTGGAGGAGGGAATGTCACCCACTCCAGTATTCTTACCTGGAGAATGCCATGGACAGAGGAGCCTGGAGGCCTCAGTCCATAGAGTTGCACAAAGTCAGACAGGACTGAAGTGACTTAGAACACCGAATGGTACAGGTAACAATATGAAAATAGTGCTTTGTAAATAAAACTTTCCCTTAAATTTGTTAGCTAGGACATTTTACACAGTAAATTAGTACATAAAATAAACTGTTTAACATGAAGTAGTTTAATTACTATTTTAACACAGGGTTTTTCTGCATTTACACACAGATAAATACAGTACAGTGGACTTTAGGTGTCAATCCCTGTAAGGTCCCTTCCTGCGTCAGAATTTTAGAATGGAGGGTGTTAAAAAGGTAACTTGCTTTCTCCTAGTTAATATAATTTAATTAAACTGACAACTTAAAAATGACAAACAGGCAAGGTGAAAATGGAAAACTAAATAGGTGTTTAAGCAAACAGGTAGTTACACAAGAATTTTGGGTTTTTGAGAATTCTGTCAGGCTCAAGGCATATATAATCATTCTTGGTCATACCTTTCTTTTTCTGAAGTGCAACAAAATTGTCCCCATTATCTTCTTTCTTTTCTAAAAAAATATTATTTACATATGGCTGTCCTGCGTCTTTGTTGCAGGGCATGAGTTCTTAGCTGCTGTGCATGAGCTTTCTCTAGTTGTGGCAAGTGGGTCTACTCTTTAGCCGTGGCACGTGGGCTTCTCACTACGGTGGATTCTCTTGTATGGAGCACGGGCTCTAGGGTGCACGGGCTTCAGCAGTCACGGCTCACAGGCTCAGCAGTTGTGTCACCTGCTTAGTGCTCTGCAGCATGTGGGATATTAGTTCTTGGACCAGGGATCTAACCTGTGTCCCCTACACTGACTGGCAGATTTTTTACTACTGGACCACCAGGTAAGTCCCCATTATTTTCTTTTAAAGGAGATTAAATTTTTCTCCAGAAACACAATCTGAGGTATTTCCAAGCTGGAACAACATACTAAATACTTAATCTAAGGAAAATAAAGGAGAAAAAATAGGGTGTGTGTGTGTCTGTGTGTGTTTGTGTGTGTGTGTAGACTTTTTCTGAAATTTAACCCCAATGAGAGTGAGCTGACTGACAAAGTTTCATTTAGCTACTAGACATATCTAGAATACTCTACCTAATTTACACAGTCAATCACCATACAATCATATATAACAGAAAGTTGACAGGATAATTAAAAGATCAGGAAAGGCTGTCTGAACTATGTACTGAGCTTCCTATTCTAAATGCAGGAGTTTAATTCTCAGGAGGTTGGAGGAAAAGCTCTACTGCTTCTAATATCAAGTTAAACACTTTTTGTATGAAAACAAGAACACATATTATTAATTCTCAAGGGAAAAAATAATTAATTTTGAACCTTAGGCTTATCAGGTCAGAAAGATGATCTATAATAAAGTCTACAAAAATTAAAAAGGAATTTTTTTTGTAGATTGATAACCTTTTCTAACATCTCAATAACTTTTAGCGAGCTTCCAAACTGATATTGTTCAAAAGTAGACTTCATTCTTTACAGAAGAAAGATACAGTATCTAAGATTAAATAATCTGGGTTTTAAAAAGTAGGGATGAAATAAGTTTATCAAAGTAGTGAAGATTACTGAAGCTGGGAGATGGGTACATAGAGGTTTATTACTCCTTCTACACCTTTTTTTTTTTTTACATTGAAGTACAGTTAATTTGCTTCCCTGGTGGCTCAATGGTAAAGAATCCTCCTGCCAATGCAGAAGATACAAGTTCAGTCCATGGGGTGGGACGATCCCTTGGAAAAGGAAATGGCAACCACTCTAGTATTCTTGCCTGGGAAATCCCACGGCCAGAGGAGCCTGGTGGCCTCCGTCCATGAGGGTCACAAAAGAGTCAGACATGACTTAGCGACTAAACAACAATACAGTTAATTAACAATGTTCATTTACAATGTTCTGTTAGTTTCTGGTATACAGCTAAGTGATTCAGGTACATTTAGAGAAACATACCTATATATACCCTTTTTCACATTCTTTTCCATTATAATTTATTAGAAGATATTGGATATAGTTCCCTATGCTAAACAGTTTAAGACTTTGTTGTTTATCTATTTCATATATAGTAGTTTATATCTACTAATCCCAAATTCCCAATTTATCCCTCCCCTCCCCTTTCCCCTTTGGTAATTGAAGTTTGTTTTGTTTTGTTTTTCAGTGTCTGTGAGTCTGTTTCTGTTTTGTAATTAAGTTCATTTGTACTATTTTTTAGATTCCACATATAAGGGTTATCACATGATATTTGTCTCTGACTTACTTTACTTAGTATGATAATCTCTAGGTCCACCTACATTGCTAGGAGTGAAAAACTGGCATTATTTCATTCTTTTTATGGCTGAGTAGTATTCTATCGTGTATATATGTATATATACACCATATCTTCTTTACCCATTCATTTGTCAATGGACAATTTGGTTGCTTCTATGTCTTGGCTATTATAAACAATGCGGCTATGAACACTGTGGTGAATGAATCTTTTTGAATTAGACTTTTCACTGGATATGTGCCCAGGTGGATCATACGGTAACACTATTTTCAGTTTCTTAAGAAAGCTCCATACCATTCCCCACAGCAGCTGCACCAGTTTACATTCTCATCAACAATGTAGGAGACTCCTCCTACTTTTGTGTATGTTTGAAACAATCTTAAATTACTATGCTGAAATTACAAAAAAAAAATTAGGTCAATTAGATTTATGCTTCCCTGGTAGCTCAGCCGGTCAAGAATCTGCCTGCAGTGCAGGCGACCTGGGTTTGATCCCTGGGTTGGGAAGATCCCCTGGAGAAGGGAACGGCTACCCACTTCAGTATGCTGCCCCGGAGAATGCCATGGACTGTATAGTCCATGGGGTTGCAAAGACACAAACACAACTGAGCAGCTTTCACTTCACTCCCTAGATTTATCCAAACTGCTAGATTTGTACAAAGGAAAAGATCATCAGAGGTCTTGCATATACTGCTTTAAAATTTCTAGATTAGAAATCCAAAAGGGTCTAAGACTCTGAGGTTATAAGAGAAGAACATGTTTTGAGAAGTTTATACTAAAAAAATGGCCTAAAAGAGGCCTAATAATATAGGGATTTTCCATTTATCATTCTTTAAAATGTAAATTGGTTAGTGCTGTGTAGGACAATAAACTCTCTCAGCAAGTAATCAATATGGCTAAGCATTTGATTTTTTTCTCTTTTGAAAGAAAAACTAAAGGTAATTTATCAAAATATGGCTTTGTGAAATCAAGGAGATCAAGACACCAACTTGATTTTAGAGGAAGAATCAAACTTAAATTTAATATAGTCAAAAACTCTGTAATTTTATACTGTTTGCACTGTAATTGTTTGAGCTATTATATCATCTCATTCTTGGTATAATCTTGTCAGTTGTTTGGTTCGGCAAGCAATCTTGTTCAACACAATCCAATAAAAGAAATAAAACTGAGGATCATTTATAGTACTGTCTTGGAATTAATATCCCATCCTACCCATTTAAAAGGCTTCTGAAAGTAGGATCAAATAAATGGCAATTAAAAAGACACCGAGGACTCAGATTGTCCTTCTCACTGGTCACATGTAGAAATAATAGAAAAGACCAGATATGTGGCCCCAGGAAAACACATTTTAATACCCCATAGATCTCCTCTAAGGAGGACATAGCACTTCCAGTTGATCTCTATGCCTATTATTAAATTTATTAGGTTAACAGATAAAAACATAGAGGTCTATTGCTCTTTAGTGGGGGGCTCAATTTTTGTTTTGGTTGGCTTGGGTTTTTTTTGCTCTTCTTTTCAACGATCTCATCAGGAATAGATACTACCCTAAACTCACACATGTCTCTCTTGCCTTTATCTGATCTTTCTTTACTCTGCTTTGAATGTCTTTTTTGCATAACCTCATTTTTCCTTAAAAACTAAGCTTCATAGCTACTTCCTGCAGTAAGTCTTCCTAGACTCTGCCATCCTTTTTTCTCACCTTTCTTTCTCTACTTATATGACACCTTTACTAGATTATAAACTTTAGGAGGACAGGTTATTTTATTCTATCAAATAAGTCTTCTTTAGTTTTTCAATGATTCATCATTATTTCATACAGCAATAAGAAAGAAAAAAACACTACCAGTTATAATTAATTGTAGGACACCAGAAATGTAAGGTGATTTCAATTTCAGAGAAGCTAAAATGTGAGGGAAAAATATTCATCTCAGAATCGATGAAATTCTGCATGTCTTGACTCTGTATTTCAATAGTAATAAAATATCATATAGAACATGCATAGTAAATGTTTGCAGAATGACTGGATAAATGAATGAATTCATCCCAGATTGGCACTTTTCATTGGTATGCATTTTTTGATTCATTCAAAAAACCAAAAGAATATAAAGAATAAAAATTTTTAGACTTTAAAAACTAAGACCTATGAATATATTTTGCAGACACAGGTTCTGATTTTAGTTGGATAATGAAAAGCACCAGGAAGGAAAATTTTCTTTCTAAATATAACTATTATGGCTTCACATTAAAAAAAAAAAACAAAACAGAAGAAAACCCATAATGTCAATTACCTGAGTGAATAAACATTATTACATTATGGTAGATAAAACAGAAATATGTTGTTTATAGTATCCATTCTTGATAGTGTGCACTAATAATATGGAAATGAATTGTAAACAACAAAACATAATTTAAAATTCAGTTATAACTATTTTAAAAGTATATTCATATTGTAACTAACATAGACTATCAGGTCCAAAGGTAGATATTAAAAACTAACTAGGACTTGTTAGTGGCTCAGACGTGAGCCTGCAATGCAGGAGACCTAGGTTCAATCTCTGGGTTGGGAACATCCCCTGGAGGAAGGCATGGCAACCCACTCCAGTATTCTTGCCTGGAGAATCCCACGGACAGAGGAGCCTGGCGGGCTACAGTCCATGGGGTCACAAAGAGTCGGACATAACTGAGTGACTAAGCACAGCATAGCACTTGTTAAGTAGCAGAAAACAAACTGGTTCTTAACCTTGGATTAAATTTATAAGGGGAAGATGCTGGAAGTCAAAATCTGAAAACTTTAGAAAGATGAAAATATTTTAAAGTTTAATCCAAGGGAAAAAGTTTACAAGTTGCCTTGTCATTCCTTTGAGATAATAGTGAAGTCTAGATACTAAGAGGTATAAGTGGTATAAAGGAGTAGAAAACATAAAATCCTACAATAATAAATTTTGAAACCTAACTTCCTTTCCTTTATATTTTTCTATGTCCTCTAAAATAACATTATGAAAATAGCTCCTCTTTACTGAGCTCACTGCTTTACATACATTATTTCTAATCTTCAATAACCTATAGGGCAGATATTAACACTATCATTTTATACCTGAGTACACTGAAGCTATAAAAGATTAAATAACTTGTTCAAGGTCACAAAGCTAGCAGTGGTAAAATCACCTCTAAAGTTTTGACTTATGTATAAGTAGCTTTTTGGTCCAAAGAAGAAAGTTTGGCAAACAACTGGGAAATCTTCTCTCTGCCCAGAAACAAAAGAAAAAATAAAATGAAGGCAGCATTATCTCAACTTAACACAAAGAGGCAGGAAGGTTGCCTTGAGAAAAAATATGCAGAATTCTGATGACTGATCAATTCTGGAATTCCATTTTGTAATATCTAACAGCAGTCAAGTAATTAATCTCAATAACTTTTAGACTGAATATGTACAATAATTAAAGACTACCTTTACTAATCTAATACATATATACTTCACAAGTTTATCACTAAAGAAAGCAGATTTAAAACTTCTCTATGATTCTACAATTTCAAATTATTTATTTTCATTTTGCCACTATGGGAAATCACTACTGCAAAGGAGTTAAGGGCAAAGGCCATGGAGAAAGACAAGACTGGATAAAATCCTGACTTCTCAGATATATAACCTTAAGAAAATTACTTAACCTCTCTAAGACTCACTTTCTTTATCTGTAAAATAAGGTTATTAGTATCTGACTCAGAGGGTTACCACAGTGAGTAAACGAGATAATGTGCATATAGCATTTCACACAGTACCTGATATACAGTAAGGGTCCAATAAATGTGTTAGGGTAATATATTATGGAGACTTTTATGTTTTACTTGGATATTTTATACTAAACAAAAACTTTAAATTTTAAAGATTGTGGGGTTATAACACAAAGTGCAAAGAAAATAAAGATTAAAATTTCATTTCTGAATGCTCTTTGGAGCATGCCTTCTCAGTGCTGCAACAATTTACCAAGAGATTTTCATAAACAATTCAAACTTTAAAAGAGAAAAAGACAGACTGTTAGTCCTTTGAAATTCACTAGGTCTTCTGTATGTGATATGGAAACATATTTAAAACATAAAGCAGAGCACAATCTTGTAACAGGTCCCTGCTACATGAACACAACTGTCTCTCTCAGAACAGGGTCAATTTCCTCATCCACCACTGAGGGGAGCTGTAATCTAGGAAAAGGTTTATATGGCACCACAAGGTTATTTTTCAACTTTCTCAAACCTTAATATATTGATTTAATAAACTCTTATTAAAATACCTTTTAAACTAACTTGACAAGTACATCTGAGCTCTCTTTTGGAGGCGTTACAAGAAATAATAAAGCTTATTATCTCTATGGAACCATAACAGTGGAATCTCTATTCTTCCTTGCTTTTTCTTTTTAGCACTTATTTGAGCTACAACATATGTTAACATATATTTAACATACATTACATATTTATATTATCTAACATGGTATATATTTTACACACATTAATTTTTATTCTTTCTCTCTCACACGCACATACACACAAATAGAAACTCCATGAGGAAGAGATTTTTTTTTTGCTTTATATACCACTCTATTTCCAGGACCTAGAACAGTGTCCAGCACAAAATACATACTCAGTGAATTAACCGCTACTGAATGAATGAATTCTGGTTCATTTAATTTGAAAGCTTCAGATATATTGTAAGATGATGTCAAATAAAGTGAACTGCTACTGCCTGAAAAATGTGATGTCTACTTATCATGAATTTAGGTTTAAAAGAAAATTTCTAAGAACAATTTTTTAATCATATAGATGAGTATACAGAGATCCCATGAGAATGACTTAGTATATATTTATAGTAGAATATCTCTTAAATGATCTGAATGTCACAGAGAATTGGTCAATTAAAGGGAAAAATCATAAATATTGATAACAAACATTTTAATTTTATTTAATATATATTAATATGTTTCATTCACCAGTTTTCATGGCCTCTTCTTAGAGTATAACTTTGTTGATCATCTCATATAATCAACAGTTATAATGCATCATTAGTGTATTTTCAATCACTTATTTTAATTAATTTGTATTAGAGTATAGTCCTTTACAATGTTGTTAGTTTCTGTGGACAGCAAAGTGAATCGGCTATACACATATACACATACACTCTTTTTGGATTTCCTTCCCAGTTAGGTCACCACAGAGCACTGAGTAGAGCTCCCTGCACTACAGAGTAGGTTCTCCTTGTTGCTGTTGTTCAGTCTCTCAGTTGTGTCCAAATCTTTGCGATCCCATAGACTACAGCACTCCAGGCCTCCCTGTCTTTCACCATCTCCCGGAGTTTACTCAAAGTCATGTACACTGAGTCGGTGATGCCATCCAACCATCTCATCCTTCTCCTCTGTCATCCCCTTCTTCTCCCGCCTTCAATCTTTCCCAGCATCAGGGTCTTTTCAAACGAGCCAGTTCTTCACATCAGGTGGCCAAAGTATTAGAGCTTCAGCTTCAGCATCAGTCCTTCCATCGAATATTCAGGACTGATTTCCTTTAGGATTGACTGGTTTGATCTCCTTGCAGTCCAAGGCACTCTCAAGAGTCTTCTCCAGCATCACAATTCAAAGGCATCCATTCTTCGGCGCTTGGTCGTTTTTATTACCCAGCTCTCACATCCATACATGACTACCAGAAATCCATAGCTTTGACTAGACGGACCTTTGTTGGCAAAGTTATTTTTTAAATGTCTCTGCTTTGTAAAATGCTGTCTAGTTTTGTCATTGCTTTTCTTCCAAGCAGCAAGCGTTTTTAAATTTCATGGCTGCAGTCACCATCCACAGTGATTTTGGAGCCCAAGAAAATAAAGTCTGCCACTGTTTCCATTGTTTCCGCATCTATTTGCCATGAAGTGATGGGACGAGATGCCATGATCTTCACTTTTTGAATGTTCAATTTTAAGTCACCTTTTTCACTCTCCTCTTTCACCTTCTTCAAGAGGCTTTTTAATTCCTTTCTGCTTTCTGCCATAAGGGTGGTGTCATCTGCATACGAGATTATTGATATTTCTCCCAGCAATCTTGACTCCAGCTTGACTCCAGCCCCGCAATCTTGATTCCAACCCAGCATTTTGCATGATGTACTCTGCACATAAGTTAAATAAGCAGGGTGACAATATACAGCCTTGATGTACTTCTTTCCCAAACTGGAACCAGTCCATTGTTCTGGATCTGGTTCTAACTGTTGCTTCTTGACCTGCATACAGGTTTCTCAGAAGGCAGGTAAGGTGGTCTGGTATTCCCATCTCTTGGAGAATTTTCTAGTTTGCTGTGATCCATACAGTCAAAGGCTTTAGCACAGTCAAAGAAGCAGAAGTAGATATTTTTCTGGAGTTCCCTTGCTTTTTCTATGATCCAGTGGATATTGGCAATTGGTCCTCTGGCTCCTCTGCCTTTTCTAAATCCAGCCTGAACATCTGGAAGTTCTCAGTTCACACACTGTTGAAGCCTAGCTTGAAGGATTTTGAGCATTACTTTGCTAGCATGTGAAATGAGCACAACTTTGTGGTAGTTTGAACATTCTTTGGCATTGCCTTTCTTTGGGATTGGAGTGAAAACTGATCTTTTCCAGTCCTGGAAAACTCCTGAGTTTTCCAAATATGCTGGCATATTGAGTGCAGCACTTTCACAGCATCATGTTTTAGGATCTGAAATAGCTCAGTGGGAATTCCATCACCTCCACCAGCTTGTTCTTAGTGATGCTTTCTAAGGCCCACTTGACTTCACACTCCAGGATGTCTGGCTCTAGGTGAGTGATCACTCCATCGTGGTTATCTGGGTCATTAAGATCTTTTTTGTATAGTTCTTCTGTGTATCTTTGCCACCTCTTACTATCTTCTGCTTCTGTTACATCCATACCATTCAGGTTCTCCTTAGTTATCTATTTTATATATAGTATCAATCGTATATATTTGTCAATCCCAATTCCCAATTCATCCTACCTCCCTCTTCCCCACTTGGCAGCCCTAAATTTGTTCTCTACTTCTGTGTCTCTATTTCTGGGTTGCAAATGAGTTCATCTGTATCATTTTTCTAGATTCTACATATAAGCAATTCAGTCACCTTTAAATGAAAGCAAGATGTAAGGACAAAAGAGAAACATCTGAATGCAAAATCCTTTCAGATTTTCGTAAATTTTCCCCCAATTTTTTACAGTTGCATTTCCACACCAGATTTAACAGCAGTTTCTAACAACTCACTTCTATCAACTGTTTCTAAAGCATTTTAACAGTTTTCATGAAATAATTCTTCAAACTGATAGTTCACTGGCCTAGGAAATATCTAATTAAATTATATAATTACAACAACAGGCCAACAGCATTATAACAGGTCTTGTAAGGGTCAAAAACAACTTACAACTCACTTGGGAGAGGTGTGTATATAAGTATGTCAGGAAGTAGTAGCCTACTAACCATGTTGACACATGTGGGATTAAAACCAGGATGTCTTGTGGATCGAATGGAAAGTATGAGTAATCCATGTAAATGAAGTAGAGATTGACGAGAAGAGTTTCTACTGTAATGACATATGGATCCTTCATATACTATCTGTCACTAGAGTCTACTTTCTAAATTTTTCTTCAATATAGTTAATGGATGCTTCTGTAATTCTGCTCTTAAAAATAATACTCCTTTAAAGATATGGAGTTTGACTAGATCATTCATTTACTCGTTCCTTCACCAAACTAAATGGAGCACCTACTGTACAGAAGGTGTTATATTAAAAAAAACTGTAATGGATAAAGAAATAAGTGGAATAGAACTTCTTCCCTATTAAATTTACTTTGCCAAGCAAGAGCCCTGTTAGCACCTCAGAAAACTGACCTAGGTTTTTCCAGAACATAACACACATGCCCAAATCTAGTCTATCTTCCAGTTGAAAATATAACACTTTCTTTTGTTTTGTTTTAGGTTTAATTATATAAACTCATTCTTTCACATTAAATAGTTCACTATTTATGATGGCTGTCTTAATTTAAAGTATGTAACTTAGTTATGTTCTCCATCAAGTTGATGCATTTTAAAGAGTTTAGTCACAATATTAATGCTTTTCCCCATGAATTAAGAGTAAAACAATTTTACCATACTTAAGAAGTCTGGTAACTTTAACCTATGTAAATAGCCTATGTAAATAATGGATACACTTAATATTTACCTTTTTCTGTTTAAACTCTTAAAAAATATACATTATGCTAGTCAAATAGGTCAAATCCCATAAATGTCTCTTAAAAAAAAAAACTGCTGTAAAAACAGGTAAAAGTCAACAATAAAAAAATCATAAATTCATCTAATAAACTATCTGTTATTTCTTGCAGTAGGCTCCTAGCAGTCATCACTATTATTGCTGTCACTATGATTAATAACTGAGGAATTGTGTATTCCTCCCACATTCTAAATAATTTTACTTTACTTCAGATTAGCTCCTCAGCACCTAGATTTCCCTAAATTTTCACCATCTCTTTAAATATGGTGATTTTTGTTTTTTTAACACCCACAGCTGAGAAATTAGGTTTCTACTAGAAAAGCTAATGTCTTCCTTTACATAAAAGGGAGTTGAAACCACAATTCAATATTCTTTCTTTCTAATCTGGCATAGGAAATGACTATTATAGCAACAAGTGTAGGGGGAAAGAACTGTTGTGCTAAAAAAGTTCAGAATAGGAAACTTGCAATAATACTCCCATTCACTCCAGAAATAAAAATATACAGAAAATACTGAATATATATGCCAATATTGACTTTTAAAGAAAGATATAAATTAGGGAGTTATTAACTGATTCCAAAATGACATGCTAGATAACTTTTAAATATTCATTCCCCATGAACTTGAAAACAAAAAAACTTGATCTATAAAGAGATAATATTTTAAAAAGTTTATAAAAATATTCCTATTGATGGAAACAAAGTCATGGACCTAGAAAATCCCTATGATTTAGTAGAAACCTTTCATTTTACAGATGAAGAAATTAAGCCCTGGAAAATAATCTCGAGGTCACCAACTTTGAAGGCACATCAGGATTTATACACAATTCTAATCAATCCAAAATTCATGTCTTCTCTACACTAGGATATGGGAGAAAGGAAAATGCAGTTTTTTTCAAATAAGGAGGCAGAATGATAAGAAGTCAGAAAATCTTTCATCTATTAAAAAGTATAATGATGCCTGGGAATCCACAGATGCAGTGTTCTCTCTGCAACACAACTCAGAGTAAGGTCTCCAAAGTTTTCTGATGACACAGGAAAATGTAATCTCCAGTAAACAGTTCAATTAAAATGTTGGTTTTATAAAGTTTTTAAACAATATGAATAATAGTTAAAAGTCACCTATATTATTTTTTATTAGATTTTTGTGAATCTAATTTAGCAATAAACACTAGGAGAGAAGAAATGCTAATGTATTTTATTTTCCATTTTCCTACTATCACCATCCCCTCCTCGATCACTTTAGCAATAAATAGGCAAATCAGCTAAATAAACTTCTGAGCTTATATATATTTTTCATAAAAAGGATACAAACATACTCTTCAACTTGAGAAACATATACTCCAATATGGAAAGGACGATTCAAAATATAACTTTTTATCTCATGATCCATTTAAATCTCACTGTCTTAATTTTAGTATACTTCTGTGCTGTGCTTAGTCACTCAGTTATGTCCAGTTCTTTGTGATCCCAGGGTTTGTGGCCTGCCAGGCTCCTCTGCCCATAGGGATTCTCCAGGCAAGAATACTGGAGTGGGTTGCCAAGCCCTCCTCCAGGGTATCTTCCCAACCCAGGTATTAAACCTAGATCTCCTGCATTACAGGCAGATTCTTTACCATCTGAACCACCAGGGAAGCCCAAGAAATATTGTGGGTAGCCTATCCCTTCTCCTGGGGATCTTCCCGACCCAGGAATCGAACTGGGGTCTCCTGCATTGCAGGCAGGTTTTTCACCAGCTGAGCTACTAAGGAAGCCCAGTGTTTCTCTATTGACTTTTAAAATATTTTTATAAAATATATAACCCAGAACTTAAATGATTTTTCCTAAAATTCTATAGATTTGAAAGTACTTTGCATCCAAACCTAACCTGTGGCATATAGCTTTTTTTTAAAAACTTCTCTCTTTCAGTAACAGCTTATAATCTATTTCTCAGAAATTTAGAACTGCTGTGCTCCTATTCTAAGATTAATCAGATGTATAATAAGAACACCTTTCTAAAAAAATATAGTTATTGTTTACATATTTCTACCATTAGTTGCAACCCAAAATTAACAGGCTAATTCTTTAGTACATCAAGTTAACAGAGCTATATAACAAGAGCCATAAGTATTGAAAACTGTTAAAACCATCCACTGGGGAGAAGATTTTAACTCAATGAAAGCTAGCTTTTTGAGGCTGTATCCAATTTCAAGAAATATAAGTCTGTTTGTTTTCAAAACCTCAATGTTACTCCAAGTACAGTGTTCAAACCTATCACTACAGAAAAGTCAGAATTGTTAACACGTGTGAACCTTTAACACAATGACACCAGCTTGACATCCAGTCACCAGAACTCCTTCCACTGTATTTGGACATGATCTCCCTCCCCAGCTTCCCAGATCTTCATGTCTAAAATGGCCCAGGTACTGTTCGAAAAAGCATAAGATTCCTTTTACCACTAAAATATAAAACAAAATCACTCACAGAAAGGAAGAACATGCTGTTTTATAAAGCATGTTATAAAACGGTTACAAATATATTTTAGAACTATAATAATGATCATGACAATGATGTCAATGACAATGATAAAAGCTAATATTCATTGCAATTATTTAATCATCACAACCCTATAAATTGATTGCTGAGAAGTTAAGAAACTTACCATAATCACAGAGCTTATAAATGGAAGATCTAGGGCTTGCAATGTGTCTCTCAGACTTCAGAACCCACAGATAAGTTTCATTGCCTGTCTTCCCTAATCTCCATTCAATAAACATTCATTAAACAACTACTATCTTCCTGCAAGTCACCTGGGACTCCATCATAAAATGCAAACTAACTGAAAATGATTATTAAAGTACTACTTGAGAATCCCTCAACCCAAAGAGTTAAAGCATAATTTTATTTTCAAATATTTCTAAGATCATTCATAATTTCATTCAACAAATGTTTAAAAGAGCATTTATGTTATGTGAAAAGCACCATGTCAGATGCTAAATAGATAAAAAGATGAACAAGACACGATCCTTCCCTCAAACTCCCAACAGAATACGTAGAACATATACATAATTCAGCATTGATGAGTAATTTTACTTTTATGTTTTTAACAAAAATAGTGGATTGGCCAAAAAGTTCATCTGGGTTTTTCCATAACATCTTACAGAAAAACCTGAAGGAAATTTTTGGCTGACTCAATGTTCACAAATAATTCTGCTATTGGTTATTATTTCACTTAAAAAATTCTAAAAGCTACAAATCACTAATTTTTTATAAGGCAACATTTCTTCTACCACCAAAATGACCCTTAGTAATGTACATAGTTAAAAATATGAAAGGCGGCCGAATTTATAATTAGCTTACATTTTCTATGACAAATGTCCACTCTTTATCTTCAAATTCCTCTGCATGAGGATCCTGTAACAAAAGTAAAATATAAAGCTGAAATACATTTTTTAATCCAGTCAACTCAATTAGGAAAATACAAACAGCCTTGATTTTAGCTTTTTACCAACTTTTTAAAAAGGGAGGGGCAGGATGGTTTTTAAAAGTTTTTTAAAAACTTTCATAATTTATCTAAATTTAAAACATTATTTTTATTAAGAAATTCTCTATCTTACTTAGGTTAATACATATCATTATTTTCCAACATTGCATAAAACAAAAGGAAACCATAAAAATATTTTATGACAGAGGCTATACATGGAATCTAAAAAAGTGGTACAAATGAAGCTATTTACAAAACAGAAATAGAGACAAAGATGTAAAAAACAAACAAACATGTAAAAAACAAAGATGTACCAAGGCAAAACAGAGGGGAGGGATAAACTGGGAGATTGAGATTGAAAAAGACACATTGCTACATATAAAACAGAGAACTAACAAGCACAGGTAGCTCTACGCAATACTCGGTAATGGTCTACACAGGAACAGAATCTAAAAGAGCAACTTCATGTATAGGTGTGACTGAGTCACTCTGATGTACAGCAGAAACTAACACAACATTGTAAATAATCTATACACCAATAAAAATTAATTTAAAAAAGAAACCCAGGGACAGATAACTTAGTGAGTCAACTATTAAGAAGCACTTTTTGTGTAGTGTTCAGTCACTCGGTCATGTCCGACTCTGTGACCCCATGGACTATAGCCCACCAGGCTTATTTATTAAGATACTGATATCCTTAAGCTGGAATCAAGGTTGCAGGGAGAAATACAATAACCTCAGATATGCAGACAACACCACTCTCTGGCAGAAAGTGAAGAGGTACTAAAAAGCCTCTTGATGAAAGTGAAACAGGAGAGTGAAAAAGTTCTTAAAGCTCAACATTCAGAAAACTAAGATTGTGGCATCCAGTCTCATCACTTCATGGGAAATAGATGGGGAAACAGTGTCAGACTTCATTTCTTTGGGCTCTAAAATCACTGTAAATGGTGATTGCAGCCATGAAATTAAAAGACCCTTACTCCTTGGAAGGAAAGTTATGACCAACCTAGACAGCATATTAAAAAGCAGAGACATTACTTTGCCAACAATGGGGTTGCAAAGAGTCGAACATGACTGAGCGACTGAACTGAACTGAAGTATTTTGAACTCAAAGTATTACTTGAGGCAAGGTTTTCTTGGTGCAGAGGTTACATATTATAAACATTTGGAATTTCAAAGTACTGCAAAGAATTTCATAACCTACACAAAATGACAAATCTGATGCTGATACCCTCATCTGCCTTCCATCACCAGACACCTGAGAAAGGGTAACAGATCCTACAACCAAATGCACCTTTCTTCTAAATGAATCACACTTTAACCAAGTATTTGGCAAATATTTATTGGCTACTTATTATATAAGGAATTACAGAGGTGTTATATGGATTCAAACATAGATGTCCTTGCTTTCAAAGACAAACACAACTAATCTAAATACATAGATGATGAATGAAATACATGACTTTACTAGAGATTAGAAGACAACACATTTCTTAGAGGAAGGAACAGGAAAAGCTTTACGAGTGAGGAAGCATTTAGACTAGGTGGGATTGTATAGGATTTCCACAGACACTAGAATAAGAAAAGGTGAAAGGTAACAGATGTTAAGACATAAAAGGAAAAGCAGTGGGGTAGCATCATAAGTGCATTTAACGTATTCAAGTTCAACTTCATGTTTTAGAGGTGGGGGAGGGATGGAGGTACTGAGCATGAGAGTATGTGCACATAGATGCTATTCCCCTACTGTGTCTCATGGACCATATACTTCTCATAGGGAAGCTCCTTATTCATGACTGATTCCACTATAGTCTATTATTAACCTTCAGTTTCTAGTGCCACACCTGAGTTTGGGTCCTCATCACTTTGTGCCTAGGCTATTTCAAGATAAAAGTAACTGCAGCACTCTCAGTCTCTCTGCTCTCCAATTAATCTTGTACACAGATTAATTCTCCTAAACCACAGTTCTGACCATGTAAGTACCAACTAAGAGTTTTTTAATTATCCCTACAAGGGATAAATTCCAAACTCTTTCGTTACTTCTTTATTTTTGTTTATTTTTCTACCTTAAAAGTATGGTGACTAGCTGCTTCTGAGCTGTCTTAAGGCAACTATGACAAATCCACACAGATAGTATAAAGACCTGCCAAAAAGGAGTTTATTTGGTGGTGATGGGCAGGGGCAAGCAGGAAAGGGTAGAAAGGAAAAAGAGGTAGAAAACTCTACTTAATACTTATTTCCCCAGCCTGGCCCTGCCCAGGTTTGTGGAGGTTTATGGAGAATGACTACTGTAAATAAAAGTTAAAAGCATTTTTTTCATAAGAGATTTAGGACCCAGACAGTGCTACTTTAGAGACCAAGTAATAGTGTGACACATTGCTTAGGAAAAAGATATATTACTATCCTTCCTGCTTGGCCCCCCACCTGCACCACACCACTGCTGAAGAATGCAGCCTAGCTCTAGTGCAACTTTTACAATAGTAGTGTGTGTGTGTGTGTGTGTGTGTGTGTGTGTTGGTCAGTCATGTTCAACTCTTTGTGACCCCATGGACTATAGCCCACCAGGCTCCTCTGTCCATGCACTTCTCCAGGCAAGAATACTGGAGAGGGTTACCATTTCCACCTCCAGCGGATCTTCCCAATCCAGGGACTGAACCCAGGTCTCCTGCATTGCGGGCAGATTCTTTACCGTCTAACCCACCAGAGAAGCTTCAATAGTAGTGGTATTAGTGACAATATGAAATATTTGCAAAGCACACACTCTGCCTCAGTCATTGTGTTAAGGGTTTTAATCATCACAACTACTTATGAAATAGGTATCATTTTTATTCCTAGTTAAAAGGACAGAAAACTGAGACCTAAAAAGATGTAGCTTCCCACAAATAAGTGTTAAAATTATGTGCCAATTCTAGGTCTGTCTGACTTTTAGCCATGTTGTTAGTTCAGTTTTATCTCTGCGTTCCCAGGGACCTAGAAAAGTACCTGGAACACGGTAGCTTCTCAAGAAAACTTGATTAATGAATTAATAAATATATGCCTTGAAACTTAACAAATATTGAATAGCACCTTATATATGACATACATTAATTCTCAAAGTTGATGAAACATTTTTTAGAAACACAGATGAAATAGTACCCATAATAGAATAATTTTAATGGGACCAAGGGTCACATCTGATGAGGCAAAGTCACTAAAAAGATGTAAAGGAGCAACAATAATGTTCAGTTTTAAGTTACTTTAAAATGGTATATCTACAAAATTCATTAATTATGTTATTGACTAAACAAAAACATTAGTAATGAAAGTTGCTTTCACCTTGAATCAATTAAGTCTTCCTTTACATCCTGCTCTCTATTTTCTAGCATCTCTTTTATTACCATTGAACTAAAGAGAAAAAGTAAAACAGCTTAAAGAGCCATTTCCCTTCTCAAAACCCAAACAGGCTTTTCTTCATTTACCAGAAATAGCTATTTTCAAGCTAATTCAACTTTCAAAATCAAGCGTGTAGGCTAAAGAAATTAATTTCTGGTTAAGTCATAGAAAAGTGAAACTTCTTGATAACTTTTTTAATAAGCACTTTGTCTATGAACACACCCCTGTGAATATGAGCAGTTCTTTTCTATTTTGCAAATTGTGAGACTTTACTACAAGTAAAAGAAAAGGGGGAAATATGAAAAAGCTTTCCACTTGAATATTTTTAAATGCTGTTCAAAAATAAGAATTAAAAATTTCCACTTAAATGTTGTGAAGTAATTAGCCTCCAACTAATAAAAATAAATGAAAAAAAAAAAGAAAGAAAAAAAAATAAGAATTAAAAATTAATATGAGAGAATGAAAAGCTATTTTGTTTTGTTTTCCTTTTTGGTTCTTCTATTACAATTCTGGGAAGATATGGAGCCAGGAAGATGAAGATATTTAAAGATATTCACTGAAGAGAAATGTGTAATACAGCAAACTGGGAAGGAGGGAGTATTTGAGTTTATTTCCCTACAGACTAACATTTAAAAGACATAAAAGTTCAGTGATAGGATTTTCTGAACATTCTCATTAGTACTTGAAAACTACTTACCTCCTAATCCTCCAAGTAATACATTTCAACAGCCACTTTCAACTCAAAATCACTCAGTTAGTGCATATCCTTTGCCCAAACACATAGCTGTCAGCCATTCATCAGCTATCTTCCAACCCCTTGCTATCTATTATCATTTTTATAAAAGTTGTGTAACTATGTCCATTCACCTGCTTTAACAATAAAAACAGACTAAATCAAAACACAGAAGATTACTTAAAAGTTTTCCTCAAGCATGTCATAGATTCTGCCATGGTAATCTATACTCAGAGTGATTTTTATTACAGAATAGGCCATGTGATATAAAACAAACCCAAAACCAAACATACAACAACCACACTCCAGGACTAAATCAGTGCGATGGGGCACGTTACCTTCTTTAGTCTTAGTTTCCTTATCAGTACAATGGAAACAATTCTAGAACTCCAGGGTTACTTTGAGAATTAAATGAAATAGTACTCTAAAGGTATTGTTGTTAACCACCAAGCTTACTATATCACTTTAGTAGGAGAGGTAGGAGCTTCCAAGGAAGCTCAAAAAGTAAAGAATCTGCCTGCAATGCAGGAGACCTGGGTTTGAGCCCTGAGTCAGGAAGATCCCCTGGAGGAAGAAATGGCAACCCACTCTATTACTCTTGCCTGGAGAATTCCATGGACAGAGGAGCCTGGTGGGCCACAGTCCAGGGGCTCACAAAGAATTGGACATGACTGAGTGACTAACACACACAGAAGAGGTATGGATGGGGAGGGGTGGGAGGTTAATAACAGGCTTTTACGACAGCTGACTGAAGGGTAATAGGATGATTCTGATCTTTCCTGAAAAAAAAGAGCAGCTACAACCTCACGTCTTACTTCTCCCTGGGCCAACAGTGTATAAATAATGTGCATAATCATGGGATGTTATAATGTCAATAACAATAGTATCACAACTGTAAAACACACATAAAGTGTTAAGAATCTTTCATAAAACAGAATATCTATGAAACACAGAGCATTTAAAAGTAGTGTCCCATTCATGGGTTAGTATGTTAACATTCATTATACTGCTTTGTTCTAAATATCTCCTCAGTAGTTCCAGAGCACATCAATTAATATATTGAAATACAAAATCAAAAGTACTTTTTTACACAGTGATTTCACACTTGAAGCCATATAACTTTGCTCTACTTAGATGTCATATCCTATAGTATTTAGTGGATTTTCACAAGTTTATGTTACTAAATTATGCTCAATGAGATGTCCTCCTTCAGTCTATCCTTTTGCAAAAGTAAAGTCAACACAATAGGATTCAAAGAAGAAATAAAGCATTTGTTCCCTATGCACCACGTTCAAGAAGGCTGAAGCTGAGACATATTTGTCCCCACCATTTTTCTTTTTTTTGAGCAGGTAAGAAATTGGTTAGGAAAGTAATTATTCTAGTGCTTAGTTTTCATATGTGTGAGGACTATTTTAGAACATTAAAAAATAGAGAAGACGTTCAAGAAAAAACATATTAAAAAGTCAGTAAGATATACGAACAGCTATATTTTTTGGATCTGGACTTTAAATTTATTACCAGAATTTTTATTTTAAGCTATAGTATTTATAAGCTATCAATATCAATAAAATATTTATCAAAAATCCATTTTAAATTTACCTTCCTATATTAACATCAATAAAATACCATGTATCAATTTTAAAACACATCTTGTTTTTAGTCAAACAAGGCTAACAAAATGAGACTCAGGACAAGAATTCCATAAACCTCAGCTTTCCACAGAAAAAGCACTTTAAATTTTCCTGTGGATAGAATGTAGGAAGCAATAAAAGAAGTGTTCCAGTTGATCTTAACTGGAATAAGTTCAAAAAGACCCTCAAATTATTTGGACTTTATAGACCATGAAAACCTTGCATTGTTATAAATTGCTATATCTCTAAAAATAATGCATATTAAGGTCCTTACTGCTCATTAAAGACTCAAGTGTGTAGAACAGTGAATACTAAAATATTCCATCATTTATAACAATGATTGCACAGTAAATCCTATAACCTATAAAAATGGAACTTACCTTAAAAAGTGTCACAGTGATTTCAATGTTTTCAGGAACAGGCCATACGACAACACCACGGTATGGATTTTTTATTCCAGGCTGCCAGCTATGAGCCTACCAACAACAACAAAAAAATGTCTTCAACTTGAAGTACAGAAAATGCAATATTAATAATCTGCAAAGATATATTGACCCTATTTAACTATCCATTAGATCTCTCTCCCTAAAACAAAAATGATTGATCAAATAGAACTTTTCAAGCATCAAACTTGGGCCATAACAGCTGGTGGCTCAGAAGATAATCTGTCTGCAGCGCAGGAGACCTGGGTTCAATCCCTTGGTCAGCAAGATCTCCGAGAGGAGGAAATGGCAACCTACTCCAGTATTCTTGCCTGGAGAATTTCATGGAGAGAGGAGCCTAGCGGGCTACAGTACATAGGGTTGCAAATAGTTGGACACAACCAAGCAACTAACACTTTTATGAAAGTTATATCACACGTAAGCTACAGATTACTATCTGTAAAGAAACATTTACCCTCTTCTACATAAACACACACATGAAGATAGAAAAATGAGATGCCTCATATTTTAAAAAGCTATTTCAAATTTAAAGAAAATCTTATCAGGATAAATATTTTAAAAATTACTTTGTGATCTCAGAACTTAAAAGTAAATTCAAATAGATGGGGAAACAATGGAAATAGTGACAGACTTTATTTTCTTGGACTCCAAAATCACTGTGGACAGTGACTGCTGCCATGAAATTAAAAGATGCTTGTTGCTTGAAAGAAAAGCAATGACAAACCTAGACAGCATTTTAAAAAGCAGAGACATTACTTTGCCTACAAAGGTCCATTTAGTCAAAGCTATGGTTTTTCCAGTAGTCATGTATGGATATGAGAGCTGGACAATAAAAAAAGGCTGAGCACCGAAGAATTGATGCCTTCGAACTGTGGTGCAGGAGTATACTCTTGAGAGTCCACTGGACAGCAAGGAGATATCAAACTAATCAATCTTAAAGGAGATCAACCCTGAATATTTATTGGAAGGACTGATGCTGGAGCTGAAGCTCTAACACTTCGGCCACCTGATGCGAATAGCTGACTCATTGGAAAAGACCTCAATGCTGAGAAACTGAGAGCAGGAGGAGAAGGGGGCGACAGAGGATGAGATATTGGATGGCAACATCGACTCCATGAGTCTGAGCAAACTCCAGGAGACAATGAAGTACACAGAAGCCTGGCATGCTGTAGTTCATAGGATCACAAAGAGTTGGACACAGCTTGAGCGACTAAGCAACAACAAATCAGAGAAAAGTACCCTTGAGAAGGTGACAAGGGCAGACCATAAGGAGGTGAATCAGATAATTTAAACATGGGAAGAGTTTTCTAGGGAGATGGACCAGCAATTGGAAAGGTGCTGAGGCAGTTAGATAACAACAAGGCCAATGTGGCTGGGGCAGAGTGGTTAAAGAGAAGAGCAGCAGTAGACAAGACTAGGGAAATCACGGAGGGCCCCGTCATACAAGGTTCAGGCAGGCCAGCCAAAGATTCTGGCTTGTAATCTGAGAGAGATGAGAAGCCACTGGAGGATTTTAACAGAAAAATGATGATCCAAGTTAAGTTTTTTTAGCTTTAGCGAATCTATTTAGAATAGACTCCAGATGTTTGAGCAAACTCCAGGAGAAACAGCGAAGGACAGGGAAGCCTGGCGTGCTGCAGTCCATAGGGTCACAAAGAGCCGGACACGACTGAGTGACTGAACAACAACCACAACCAGATGTAAGAGAGGAAACAGGGAGGCAATAAAGAAGCTACGCAATAATCCCAAGGAGAGGTGATGGCAACTTGGTTTAGGGTGGTATAAAAGCTGTATGAAGTGATCAGATTCCATATATTTTTTTATTTTCAAGACAGAATCAATAAGATTTTCTGTCTGACTCTATGAAAGAAAGTAGCCAAGGATGACTGTATGGCTTTTGACCTTGAGCAAGTACAAAACAGGAACTGCTATTAACAGACAATGAGATAAAACTGCAGAAGGATCAGGTTTGGAAAATCAGATTAGGAACTTGATTTTATACACATTAAATCTAAGGTGCCTATTAGATACTCAAGTGTAGCTGTTTAACTAGGCAGCTGGATATACCTGCCTGGAGTTATAAATTTGGGAATCATCAGCATACAGGTGATACTTAAAGCTTAAGGATGGATGTAATCCAAAGGGAGCGACAGGAGGGAGGAAGGGAAAGAGACAGAGAGGGAGAGAACAAAGGTTCAGGAACTGAACTCTGGAGCACGACAACAACAGGTCTGGGAAACGAGGAGGAATCAGTAAGGAAAGGTCAGTAAGTAGAAGGAAAACCAGAGGCAAGTGGTTATGAAAGTCTAGTGGAGAAAATATTTCAAGGAGACACGAACAATTATCTGTGCCAAATCTTGGTGACAGGTCAAGAGGATGAGGTCTGGAAAATGACCCCTGGATTTAACAAAGCCAAAGCCATTAATGACTTCACGAGAGCTGTTTCAGTGGAGTGGTGAGGGTAAACACCTGACTGGATCAGCATGGGTTCAAGAAAGAATAGGAAGAAAGACACTGAAGCTAGCAAGCACATTCAACTTCTCTGGGCTATTTTGCTGAAAGAGAAAGAGAGAAATAGGTTAGTGCTAGTACAAGAAATATTGTCAGACCAGAATTTTTTAAGTATGAAAGAAGTACTTTTAGGGTGATGGGAAACACTCAGTTGAAAGGGAAATTTTAATGATGCAGAAGAGAAATAATTCCTAGAGTAATGTCTTTAACAGTGCGAAAGGAGACAGATTGGCTTGTGCTGGGAGCACAGATCATTCTTCCGTAATAACAGAAAAGAAGTTAGAGTACTTGAGTGCAGACGCATGTCAGGGAGCAGATTTAACACATCTGAGAGGACGCTGAGAGGACATCTGAGGACACTGAGACACAGACTTGACCAAGACCACACAGCAAGTAAGTGGCAGAGACTGGATTTGAATCCAGGAAGTGGAACTGAGAAGTGATCAAGATCACAGAAACTTATGTCCATGTAAATCTTATCATATCTTGTTGGTTAAAACACCAGCAGAATACTATAAGTCAACTATACTTCAATAAAAAATAGAGACCTAACACACCACAGCCAATGGTAAAGAATGGAGTTTTGCTGATTAAAAAACATCTCTAGAGATTCTTCTATTCCCCTGCCTTATTTCTATGCCTGTTTACAGTCCTAGAACACAATTCCACAGAGTAAACAATCTGAATTTTGAAAAGTAAATTGCTGCCATCTTAGATAATCTCTAATTAGAACTCCTCTCTATATGGTCTACATACTTAATTCTGAACACTGTAATTCTCATGTACTCTAACGATAGATCAAGCTATTTCTCTAGTCTCTTCAAACTTCCCGTAAATATATCTTCATAGTCTCCCCATACATTGAAAAAGACTATAATAATTGAATTTTTCTTATTAGTTACAGTAGAAAAGATAGAATTTGAGCAATTCTGAATTTTAAAAAGTAACATCAAAGAATTTTAGACCTGAAAATATCCTTAGGAGATCTAATCAGGTCCAGATCATGAAACTGAGGCAATAAAGAGTAAATGGCTTGCCTGAACCCATAATAATAATCTGTAGGAGAACCAGCTCCATGATTTTCAAGTTCAGGGTTCTTCACCCAACCAACATCACAGCTAGCTCTATTTCTGATTCACACAGTAGTCAAGAAAATAGTCTTCAATCCCTAAGGTCTTAACATTTATATGCATGAGACAGAGATCAAAAGTGTGAAAAGCAGGCAATATGGAGACCAACAAACAACTGGGCAGAATTAGAAGACGGTGATATTAGGTAATTACCTAATGCTGGTCCTCTAAATGACCTCTTTCAGTTCTCAGTCTAGGATCAGGAAATGGTAATTAGACTGCTGAACAAACAAAACTACTATCTGCTTAACAAACTAAAATCTTTTTTCTTTTTTTAAATAAAAAGAGATAGAAGGGTGCTAGTTCCCAAGTTGCTGGTATGCCGCCATTCTATCCCTCTCCCCAGTGAGAGAAAAGGTCCACCTAAGTCACAGCTCTGGCTTTCTGATGTCTTTTTAGTGACTGTACAAACTAGCTATGTTAGGACACAGTAACAATATCAATTAGTCCAGGTTAGTATCTGACAATATCAGCTTCATAATGTCAGCTAATTATTATATATTACAAAAAGAACAAAAGGTCTAATACAGGCAACTAAAAATAGCTGTGGTACTAAACACCTAATTGTACAGATCCATGGAGACAGTAATTTAGGTTCTTAGGAACTTTATTTTTAAAAAGTACCTCATGTTGGCAATCATCAGCACTACAGGAATCCTGGATCAGTTTTTAATCAGAGTAATAGAAAGGATTTCCCTAGAAAACAATTCAGTATAAAACACATACAGCTATTAAATTCCTTAATATAGTTCAGAAAGGCAGGTTATTTAATCATTTGCCAGCATCCTAGTACAGATAATGGTAGAAAGGATGAAGCCATATTCAGTTCCACTCATATAAATTGTTTCACCTTTTAATCATATGAGAGATCCTTTAGCAAAGGCAGACCTAGGGAAAAGGTAACATTTACCAATTTTGACTACTAACTCTATGTCTTATTTTCAAATTATTTTATATCATACCTTATGTAAAAGACCTGAACCTAATATGGAACTAAAAAACCTAATATGGAACTAAATATTCACTTGTTACTTCCGAAATATTTCACTGAATATATATAACTGTCATTTAGTTTTTAAATTAATGATTTTCAATTTATAAAACTTCATCTACCCATACATTTAGCATGTCATATGTAAAGTTGTCTTAGAACTGTCCACATCATGGTCTTAGTCAAAGATCTACCACTACACCCATCCCTTCAAGATACCACAGCATACTGTTAAAGGCTATACAGGTGCACACTGCTATGTTAAAAATGGATAGCCAACAAGGACTTAATATATATAGCACAAGGAACTCTGCTCAATGTTACATGGCAGTCTTGATGGGAGGGGAGTTTGGGAGAGAATGGATACATGTATACGTATGACTGGGTCCCTTTGTTGTCCACTTGAAACTATCATAACATTGTTAATCAGCTATCAGTTCAGTTCAGTCACTCAGTTGTGTCCGACTCTTTGCGACCCCATGAATCACAGCACGCCAGGCCTCCCTGTCCATCACCAACTCCTGGAGTCTACCCAAACCCATGTCCATCGAGTCAGTGATGCCATCCAGCCATTTCATCCTCTGTCGTCCCCTTCTCCTCCTGCCCCCAATCCTTCCCAGCATTAGGGTCTCTTCCAATGAGTCAACTCTTCACAAGGTGGCCAAAGTATTGGAGTTTCAGCTTCAACATCAGTCCTTCCAATGAACACCCAGGACTGATCTCCTTTAGGATGGACTGGTTGGATCTTCTTGCAGTCTAAGGGACTCTCAAGAGTCTTCTCCAACACCACAGTTCAAAAGCATCAATTCTTCGGCGCTCAGCTTTCTTCACTGTCCAACTTTCACATCCATACCTGACTACTGCAAAAACCATTGCTTTGACTAGATGGACCTTTGTTGGCAAAGTAATGTCTCTGCTTTTTAATATTCTGTCTAGGTTGGTCATAACTTTCCTTCCAAGGAGTAACCGTCTTTTAATCAGCCATACTTCAATACAAAATAAAAAGTTTAAAATAATTACAACAAAAACACAGCTTATAGCAAGGAGGTAGAAGTGGTAATGCCATCCAAAAGCTGGTGAGGACTTTCAAGCTCTTCTTTTCCTTTGGAATTCTCCCATTTCTTTGTGACTTTAAATTCCTAGTTTGAAAACTAGGTTTAAGGCAACAGACTACCCTGCCATAACTTTTGTCTATTACAGTTTTCCTGCTTCCTTTGTCCAACACTATACTGAAAAATAATATATTTACGCATATACAATTCAACTGCTGCCTGAAAATATCTTTGCTATAAATGCCATGACTTGAAGATAAGAGGTAGGAAAATTGCCTATTGTGATAATTGCTCATGGTAATTATTTGGTCAATAAAAAATGATCTGCAATGGGTTCTTTTTATTTTTAATTACAAAAATAGACATGTATCCAAAGAAAGTGAGCAAAACACTGAGAACTAAACTTTAAATCAAGTAAGGCAATTTGCCTTATCATTATACTGTCTAATCTGTTATCTGGATATCAGTTATAAGTTTTGATCCACCAATATAAAAAAGGTAGATAACCAATCATACTTCAATAAAATAATTTTTAAAAGGTAGATATATTCAGAAACAGGCAAGATAAATAGTAAGTTATACACAAGACCAAAGAGAATGAATTACTGTGTAGTTCAAACTCCTTCCAGAAACAAACCTAAAAGTAAAAACCAGACTATTTTCTGCCCAATGGTTGTAGAGATCTATTTTCCCTGTAAGTGATTTCAGTGGGACTTAACAGCAAATAATGTGTATTTCAAAGGAAAAATGTCAGAAACAGAAGAGTGTTTCAGATGAAAACAATGGTTCCACTCTTTGGATTTAATATAACTGATAGTTAATTTTAAAAAACAATAGCTCAGGACAAGCTAGCTTTTTTCTTTTTTTTTTTAAGAATTCCAAAATGCCATTATCTCAAGCTCCTCAAAGTTTTTTTAAAAAGTAATTTGTTTAATTTCCACATAATATCATAATCATTTCCTTTACAGCTCCTGCAACTGGTTTTTTATTCTGCTGTTGTATACAATGTATAAAACAGCATTTCACACATACATGAATATATTACATAAATTTCAGGCAGATTCTTTACCACTGAGCCATCAGGGAATCCTGTAAGCTTATTATAGCATGTGGGCTTCCCTGATGGCTCAGTGGTAAAGAAGCCACCTGAAATGCAGGAGACTCGAATTTGATCCCTGGGTCAGGAAGATCCCCTGGAGAAGGAAATGGCAAACCACTCTAGTACTCTTGCCTGGGAAATCCCACGGACAGAGGAACCTATGGGGCTACAGTCCATGGGGTCCCAAAGAGCTGGACATCACTAGAGTGACTAAATAAGAACATTATAAGCTTAATACATTAAGAGTTCTCATAACTTTTCAAAAGTACATCTATAATGTTTCAAGAGAAATATATAATGATTCTAAAATATCCAGAAGGGATCTGAAATATTAGGAGCATCACAACTGGAAAATAAGTCCAATAAGAAATAGTTCCTTCTGGAAAATATTGTATTCTGAGAAAAATCAACCTGTACCTCATATGTTTGCATTTCATCATTTAGAGTCAAGCAATATTTAATATAATGAGAAAAAGAATCTAGACCTAAAAGTTATCTGACTTTGAAAATGCAATTAAATTAAAAGTATACTTAACTTCAACTATGAATATTCTGAATTGACTTCTGATCTAAAGCATTTCATTATGTTTCATAATGTTTTAAGAAAACAATTAGTATCTAGTTACTACAAGAGGGAAATCACTTTCTGTTGACAGCTAAAAACATTTAGGGTCTAACATTTATAGTATAGTCAGATTCCACTATCATACTTACTGGATGATCTATTATTGTTCCTTTCCATAAAAGCTTAAGACCCACTCAGAAAAAAATGATAGAAGACCCTAAGTCTATTTTCAGAATCCTTTCTCATACATAAATAGATAAGAAAATATTATAGATCCAAAATATCCTGTCTCCAAACTACATATGTATGTTTTGGAGAAGATGCTATTCATTAGGTAAAGCAACTGGACCTTTTCTCTATTGCTGGTGGGGTACGCCGAAAGTTAAAAATGTACCTACCCTATTGCCCAGTGATTTTACTCCTAGTTATTTGTGCAAGAGAAAATATTTGTGCCCCAAAATACTTGTACAGTAATGTTTAAAAGAAACTTAGTCACAATAGTGAATATTCAGAATACTCACTGGAAACAAACCATACTTTCATCAACAGATGTATAATCAAACTGCAAATATTCACATGATGGAATAATACTCAGCAAAGAAAAAACATAACTACCAGTATTCACAAATTTTTTAATTCTGAAATTTAATTAAAATTTAATTTCAGGTAAAATAAATGAATTTTTTCTTTACATAAATCTGCTGCTGCTGCTGCTGAGTCGCTTCAGTCGTGTCCGACTCTGTGCGACCCCATAGACGGCAGCCCACCAGGCTCCCCCGTCCCTGGGATTCTCCAGGCAAGAACACTGGAGTGGGTTGCCATTTCCTTCTCCAATGCATGAAAGTGAAAAGTGAAAGTGAAGTCGCTCAGTTGTATCCGACTCTCAGCAACTCCATGGACTGCAGTCTACCAGGCTTCTCCGTCCATGGGATTTTCCAGGTAAGAGTACTGGAGTGGGGTGCCATAGCCTTCTTCTTACATAAATCTACTTACATAGAAACCAACATTCAATAAACATGCTTGTAATTATTGTGTGCCTATAAACACATGCTCAATCTTACTTGTCTGTAGACTGGAATTTTTAAAATATCTAAAATTGTTATTGAACATTTAAAAATTCTGCTCCACTCCCCCACAAAGCCATAAGAACAAAAGATTAAAACCTCTGAAAAATCCAAATCCTTCTCTTCTGTAACCTAGCAAATGGACTCTGATAACTCATTATTAATTATGTGTGCCCTAACTCCATCTTCTTAGAATCTGAATAAAGTAATTCTAGATATAATTTTTAAGTGATCTTTATTTACTCATTAGTTCATGATATCCTAGCACAAAGAAGTTAAATAACTATTATGTTATTTAAGGCCACCAAATCCAAAATCAAAACTCAGGTATCTGGCTCCTGTTAGAACTATAATACCAAGATTACATACAGTACCTAATCAATCATTTTAGTAAAGCAGATTATAAGAATAACCCAAAATATCAAAAAACATTTAAAAATATTCTTCTCTGAGGCCAGAGAAGCTCAATAATTTGACCAAAAGTTACATTCAACATTTGGGTAAGAAATTGAGAAAACAAACAAACCTTGGAAGACTTCCTTCGGCTTCTTCTTGTCCAAACTACCACCAATTTATCTGGTTGCCTGCCAAACAGGAAAGATTAAGTAAAATTTATCTTAAATCAATAAAATTTAGTTTTAGCACCTTTAAAAGAACAAAAATGTCACCTGCTTTAGGTTACATGGAGTGGTTACACTAACAATAAAGCTCTATAAATTATTCAAATATAGTAGATGCAGAATATACACATGATCTAATTTAAATGACTAATACTTCATCCATATGTTTTTCTAAAAATACTTTACCAAGTAAATTCATTGGGACAAACCAAGTAAAATAGACTATTTTAAAAAGAAAAGCACATACATATCTCTCATCTAAAACTATATTTCCAACACGTTATCACTTTAATTTAGAGAAAATAAGCATAAAAATGTTTCCAAAATAATTGAAATCTGTGGTTTACACTACTTTTGCATATCCGTATCTTATGAACAATGTTTATGATTTTCAAAACCTTTTTATAGTCAATCATCTCAACTATCTTCATGAAAATAATACTGAAAAATAGGCAAGTACCTTCTGGCAAGAAGCCCAGGGTACACTGGGTTTCCCTAGCGGCACAACGGTAAAGAATCTGCCTACAATGCAAGAAACTGCCCACAATGCAGGAGATGTGGGTTTCATCTTTGGGAAGATCCCCCGGAGAAGGAAATGGCAACCCACTCCAGTTTGCTTGCCTGAGAAATCCCATGGACAGAGAAGCCTGGCGGGTTAAAGTCCATGGGGTCGCAAAGTGTTGGACATGACTGAGCCACTAAACCACCACAGCCATATTCTGGAAAAGTTAAAAAAAAAAACTCATCAAAAGTTCTAGCAGAAACAAGACTGAAACATAGGTCTTTCCAACCTGAGATGCTGGGAGCAGCAGCCAGATGCAGAAGTTCTAAATTACAGATGAAATAGAAAAAAGTTTCCATGAAACATCAGTGTTCATCTAAGGATATGAACCAACGGAGAAACAAAATTGTGTTTAACACAGAGAGAAACAGAATAGGACAAAGACATGGAGATGGGTGGTGGGGTACATATGGCAACATGATAATAGAGCTGGGCAGAGGGTACGGATCAATGTTGGCAGCTTAACAGTAAAGGGACTGAGTAAGCAAACAGTGTAAGCTACCTTGTTTGAAAGCATTGGTGGCTTGCTGGAACACTTTACCAAGATTACTACACTAATCTTTCCATTATGTTCTTACCTCCACATCTCTAGCCCAACCTCAACTTTTAATTATACTTCTGCAATACTACTTTAGAATTGCTACAAAAGTCTTACTTTTTTTTTTTTTTTTTTACTATTCTAACAGGGCTCTTATACTGAAGGTATGACAAACTGGCACTTGAAAGTTGAATTTGACAGATCTGACCTAAATAGTAATCCCTTATTTTAAGCTTAAACTTTAGAAAACATTTCTTGGGACTTCCCTGGTGTTCCAGCGGGTAAAACTCCGTGCTACCAATGCAAAGGACTCAGGTTCAGTCCCTGGTGGGGGGAACTAGAACCCACAAGCATGCCACAATGAAGATCCAATTCAACCTAAATAAAAAAATATTTTAAAACATTTCTACCTAAATGCCTTCAAACAAGTTCCATGCTATCCAGATTACTAAAGCCTCCAATACTATCAACTTCTTTGCACCTGACCAGCTTCATTCTTCAGATGATCTACTTAGTCCCTGTATATATTTGACCCTTTCAACATCACAGCATAAGATAGCATCCATATTCCTGACTGTGGTTTATAAGGCACCTCATCACCTGAATCTGATTTTCTAGCTGCAAAACCTACAAATACCTCAAAGGCATCTTGCTTTTCAACCAATCCCTGAACATTTATTCAATCTCTTCCCATCTTTGCATGTTAAAATCTTTTTTTCTTTAACCTCCTCTTTTTTCTCCTTTTCTATCTGATAAACGCTTAATTCATCACTTTCTCTATGAACACCTGACTGTTTCTCATTTCATTCCCACTTTAACCCATATCCTCAACCTCAGGCAAAGTTAATTGCTTCTTCTACCCATATTTCCATTAACACTCTAAACACCTCTATTTTAAATATGCTATATGCCCTGTATTATGGGCTTCCCTGGTGGCTCAGATGGTAAAGAATCTGCCTGCAATGCAGAAAACCAAGGTTCAATTCCTGGGTTAGGAAGATCCCCTGGAGAAGGGAATGGCTACACACTCCAGTAATTCAAAGTCATAAGCAGATGATATCACTCTAATGGCAGGAACTAAAGAGCTTCTTGATGAGGCTGAAAGGGAAGAGTGAAAAAGCTGGCTTAAAACTCAACATTCAAAAAACTAAGCTCATAGCATTGGTCCCAGCACTTTATGGCAAATAGATGAGGAAAAATGGACTCCAAAATCACTGTGGACAGTCACTACAGCCAGGAAATTAAAAGATGTTTGCTACTCGGAAGAAAAGCTATTGCAAACCTAGACAGCATATTAAAAAGCAGAGACATCACTTTGCCAACAAAGGTCCATATAGTCAAAGCTATGGTTTTTCCAGTAGTGGTATACAGGTGTGAGAGTTGGACCTTAAAAAAGGCTGAGTGCCAAAGAACTGATGCTTTCGAATTGTAGTGCTGGAAAAGTCTCTTGAGAGTCCCCTGGACAGGGAGGAGATCAAACCAGTCAATCCTAAAGGAAATCAACCCTGAATATTCATTGGGAAGGACTGATGCTGAAGCTGAAACTCCAATACTTTGGCCACCTGATGCGAAGAACTGACTCATTGGAAAAGACCCTGATACTGGGAAAGATTGGAGGCAGGAGAAGGAGATGACAGACATTGAGATGTTTGAATGGCATCACTGATACAACAGACATTGAGTAGGCTCCGGGAGATGGTGATGGACAGGGAAGCCTGGTGTGCTGCAGTCCATGGGGTTGCAAAGAGTTGGACAAGACTGAGCAACTGAACTGAACTGCGCTGCAAAGTGCTGATTCATTGAAAAAGACCCTGACGCTGGGAAAGACTGAGGGCAAAGAAGTGGGCAGCAGGGATGGATGGTTAGATAACATCACTGACTCAGTGGACATGAGTTTGAGCAAATTCCGGGAGATAGTGAAAGACAGAGAAGTCTTGTGTGCTGCAGTCCATGGGGTCTTTAAGAGTTGGACATGGCTGAGTGAACAACAGTACAACCACCACCCACTCCAATATTCTTGCCTGGAGAATTCCAATGACAGAGGAGCCTAGTAGACTACTGTCCAAGGGTTTGCAAAGAGTTGGACACAACTGAGTGACTAACAGTTTTCTCTTTTTCACTTCATGCTTTCTATTACATTATTTGTTATTATTTCTGTCTCCTCCACTAGATTGCATTCCTTTATCAACCATATCTTATTTATTTTTCTATTTCTAGCAACTAATAAGAATCTGGTACAAGGTTGAGGCTCTATTCACTACCCTATTCATTACTAAATGAAACTTCCATTTCATCCAGGAATTCCCAGTTGGTTAATTACAACTGATAAGGTCCAAGATAAAGTCAGTAGCTATGTAGTACATTCTCTCCGCAGCTTATTTGAGCTTTGCAGGCATCTTCACCTTGGATGCACATTGGAACCTCTTGGGAAGTTTTTTAAAACTACTGATATCTAGGTTCCACTGTTAGAGAATCACATTTAAATGGCCTGGTAGGCAGACTTTTAAAAACTTCACAGTTGATTATTATGTCCAGCTAAGGTCGAAAACCAATTCTTTTGCAGGGAGAGTGGTAAGCAATCCCCACACTCCTGATTTGAAATAGTGAGGCGTTGTGATGCTGTGATGGCAACAAGGGTGACCCCCCCCTTCCCAATATCATCCTAGTGCTACCTGCACTGCTTGCTACCTCCTTCCAATCTGGCCTCTCAGCATCTGCCTCTCCTCCACCCATTCTGATCTCATGTTTCAGAATATGGAAGCCTCTTACTGTAAAATTAGAAAATCAGGAAGGGTGGTCTCCTAACCTACATGCCTGAAGTCCCAAGAATGTAAATAGAACATTAGCTACTTATTTGAGAATCCTCCCAGAGACAGATAAACGTTTTCGTGATTCCAAGTTATGTCCAATTTTTAAAATGTCTTAACTAGAAATCTCCCCTGGAGAAGGGAATGGCAACCCACTCCAGTATTCTTGCCTGGAGAATTCCATGGACAGAGGAGCCTGGTGGGCTACAGATCATTGGGACGCAAAGAGTCAGAGATGACTAAGCAACTAACACACACACACACACACACACACACACACACACACACACACACACACACACTAGAAATCAGCTCCCCTTTACATTATCAGGGACAAAGTAATGCAGAATGTTTAAAATAAAGAGCTATGCTGTGAGTTACTGTTCTTACAGAAAATACCAATAACCACACAACTGCTTGACCACAATTAATATTTTAAGAATCTATGCTCTACTAGAAAAAAAACCATTAAATATTTACTTATGTGCTCACAAGAGGCCAGGGATAGAGCAACTGTGAGAGTTTTATCCAACTACCAAAGAGACTATAATTATGCAACTTTCTATCAGAAAAGTCAGGACAACCTGATATAGCCCTGTTTTAGAGAGAATTCAACAATCAAATATTTAAAATTTCTACCCTATTCCCTAAGTGACCAGGTAGCCCTGCACATAATACATATACAGACATATAAACACACATGCATATATTCATATATAGGTATTTATATATATGAATATTTTATATACATACACATAAAATGTACACACAGACACACTGCCTATGAGTTCCACGGCAAAATTTGGAGCTTTCTGGTGGGCTTACTCAGGGGAGAAAATTTTACATTTAAAAATAAGGAATGTTATCTTTCTGGAAATTATATTACACAGGTTACTGATTCTCTGAGAGGTTTTCCTTTAATAAAATGTCCTTTTTGTCCCTCTCAAGGTAGAATGCATCAAAATTTGAGGAATAAAGACACTGAAGATCTGTGCCTAACTATAATTGTACATAATTATCATTTCAAAAGGTAGCTAATAATCCATATAAACAGCAA